CCAAACACTTTATTCAGCGAGTCATATAACCAGTTTCTGCACCACCATATTGCCATCCACAGCTCTTCAAACTACTCCCCAAAAAATCGTCTCATCAAAAATCACAATTCACAAAATTCACGGATACTATTCCTGAACATCAATTACAATTACTCTCGTCGAATCTGGAACACTGTTGAACCTTAGAAGACACCACCAAATTCAGGTCACCAATTCGTGCTTCCGTGACGATCGTCCTGATCCATCGATCGTCTCCGACTCGCGATCGCGCCCCACCGCGTTGTCTGCCCACTAGTTCTTTGAGAGGCCACCGATCTATCGAATCGTCGAGGATCCCGCCGAATTCGCGACTTTTCTGTCGAGTGACAATTGTGCAGAGGACGACTAGTCGGAAACGTGGCCGCGACTGGTTGCTTCTTTGGTAAAAACTCGCTTACGAGTGTCCCTCCTGGCGAACGTAGGCCGTGGTCGTTCGCGCAGACCAAGAGAAAGTGATCGCCCCCTTCCCGGCGTCGCATTCAAACGAACGTCGAGCCCGGGATTGCGACATTTAGTGCGCTGGCAGGGCTCGCGCGTGACGTCCTTCGAGCCCTCTTCCTGGAGGCGACGCCTCGCGTTCTCCGCAAGGTCGTCGCGTTCCTGTCGCAGCCGAGCTTCGCGCGACACCTCGGGGGTGGACAAGCGTCTCAAGAGCAGGTATAGTTCGTCGAGGAATTTATATTTTAGGAGTTAGTTGCCTAGGGAGTGTAGGAAGTAAGAAGATTGGGCTTGTTTGGTTTCTTTGGTTTGATAAACTATTGAATTTACGTGAATATTTTGAGTTCCGAAAGGGGACAGAAAATGGTGGAATTTATGGGGTTCGTTGCGTAACTGATGCTGGGGTTTGCGAATATAGCAACCGTGAGCTTTGAGCAAATGGATTATTGATCCTGTACGATATTGTTTATCGAGAGACTAGATTTCTTTTTAAATCGTAGCATCTTCTTACTTTAGCTCTTGTTATCTATGAAGTATAGACTCAGTAAAAGAGGTTTATCCAGTAAATAATGGTTTTATGGTTACGTTATGTATATTTATAATGTACACATTGCACTAATGAAAACATGTTATGTAAAGACGGTAACGACGTCTATCGTGGTACAACCTGTTGAAGTTTTCTCGTTAGAGGATATATCGAAATAGAATTACGAGCACGACAGCGAGACTCTAATCCATTCAATCACGATAGCACAACGTAACAATAAGTAACGATAAAAATAACAAGACTAATTATAATAATCCAAAAGTGGAGCTCGTATCCTTGCCAATAGAGATCACTTCAATAATTTCATTTGTCATGTGACGTGGCCCCACTGTATATAGTCAATATTTAGAAAAATAGATAGAAATTGAACAATCTTCTACAAAAATAATAAAATATTAGCTAATGAATCTTGAATCGCATGACAGTGGAAGTTTCGAGTGAAAGTCCAATTACTCGACTTCCCCTCCGACGATCGAGAAGTGCTTTGTCGGTAACGATACCCGAGCGATCTCTCGTAATGCATGGAAATGGTGCCAACGGCCACTTAAGTGCGATCACGAAGCGACGACTGTGTAAGAATATAATCGATTTCTTGCGTGGCAACGGGACACGGTGAACGAGACCGATTACTCGCGAGCTCGGTTCGTATCATTGCTCAATGAACGCGATTTTCCTACGTGTCCTCGTTCACGTAGATTAGTATCGGTGTTGTGGATGCACTTTTACCTCCTCGAGATCGACGAACGATCTTGTACCAGCGATCACGCGTCGAGACACTTTCCATTTGCGTGTCCTAATTTTTTTCATGACTTTTAATTACGCGTTTCATAAGTGACACTTATCAAATTAGATGTGCTTAATTAATTGCAGCGCTTTCCATTGGGAAATAAGTTGACATAGTTGTTCAACGTTTATATTTATATCAATATTTAGTAAAGTGAAACTTTTTATCCAAATTTTTTTAAGGGACGCAAAAGTTTCACTTTTATAAACCTAAATTAACACCATAAAATTCTGCTTACGGAGTTTCACTCGAAAAGTAATTTTTCGGATTTTGTCCAACCGTAGTAAATCCGCCATTTTGAATTTCTAAATTTTGAGTTTAGATTTGGAATCAGCGACCCCAAAAACCCTTGTATACCAAGTTTCATCAAAATCGATCGAGAGAAAAAATAGATAGGTTAATTTCTTCCCTAAAGAATTTCGAGGGGGTTTTCCAACCAGGAAATACTACAATGTTTACTATTATGTCAACGAATTTAGAGGGGTGGGCCATTCTGGAAATACTTCAATGTTTACTAGTATTTCTTGAAATTGCAACGGCTTTTCAAGGTCGCTGTGTCTGTCAGTCATTCACAATTGTCTATAAAATAAGAAACTTTGAGGTGTCATAGCTCAGCGAGAAATCGTTCGATTTGACTCTACCAAAATGCAAATTGAAGGGCGAAATATTTACAATCTAATAGACAGTTATTATCATTGTTATATTAGGTTCCTAACACCAAATACCATAAAACAATTACTTTTAAATTGATTTTAGAGGGCTAGTATTAATTTATTTCGTCGATAGTTGAGATTTTAGAATAATCTGTTATTGAGAGTGTTAGAAACTGGTGTGAGAGCATTAATTCATCACTTTAATATGACACAACTTCTCGCTATGCTGTCACAAGAACGTCTCTCTCGATCAATTGATGGTTCACTGAGCGATAATTAATGACTCTCTGTATTAACACATCGAGTGAGACACTCTTTTGCAATGATGTTTCCAAATGATCACAATTATAATAATTATACAGCACGTAATAGGAAGGAGTTCAAGTGCTGAAACTTACTTCTTACATTCATGCTACTTTTTTCTCTCTTCGTTTGTATTTTTCGGGGGCGTATTGTCGTTCGTAAAGAGTGCCGCAACGTCGCGACGCCAGTCGTCGCGAAACAGCGGGGAGCCTCGATTTCGAGTCGAAAGGACTTCTCGAATTGCGAAGTTGGCAGCGGCGAGCCGATAAACGAAGCAAGCGCGATCATTTTTGCGAGGATATCGCAGGATCCTAACTGCTCGCGCGACTCTTGGCTTTGGCACGATCTCGTCTCGCGATCGTTACGGGGGTTGGTAGCATCGGGGGTGCTTGGCATAGCGCTTAAGCCGATAAAGGCGCCCGGAGATTGTTATAATAACTTTTCGAAGCGGCAGGCGCCCGTTGTAAATTGTACCGATTGTTTTCGTGCGAAATCTTTGCTAAACTTTTTTTAGGAAGGGAAAACGGGGAAACAGTGTACTATTCACTGGGAAAGTAACGCGAAAGGCACGTTTCCAATTTTTACTCAACCCTTTACGAGGACAAAACTCGAGACACACGCTAGATTCGTCAGTTCAGGTTTAATTCAAGCAAAGACATAATTTCTATTTTTGCTTAATTCTGCTCGAATTTATACTCCTTTCCTGTAGAATAATATCTGGTCCTGAGGTGCTCTTATGAACGACGAGTTTTATCTCGAGAATTTTTTTAAAGATTGTTTTTTTAGGATTGATATTTCAGGACCCTCGGGATGAAAGTTTCATGCAAATACTTATTTCAGAATATCCGCGACTCTATTTTTATTCTCCGTGAATTGTATTCAATCTAGAATCTTTCTTTATGCGGACTTTTAATTTTACGAGAAAAGGAATTAAAAATGAGAAGACGAGGCGACAACGTAGTCGTCGCGATTGAATCTGGAGATTCGAGTATCTCGACGGATTAAATGTTCGACTGTAGGACAACTGGAAGAATAAACCGGCATCGCGGAAATTGAATTCCCTTTTTGGTCGTGGCTGGGCGGAATAATTACAAGAAGCGGACTCGAGCGAGAGCGCCATTACCTCGCTCGCCTCTGGCTGCCTTTGTGAACATTATTCGCTCGCTAAATATTGTACGCCGATGGTAAATAAGGGCTACTTCGTTGAAATCGGTTCCAGCGATGCTGGCCTACCGTGGAACGACTATTAGTGGCGAATCTCTTGAACGCGGAAAATGTCCCCTAATTGGCGGGAAATTAATAGGGCTGCATTACGGCCATTATGCAACACGCGCCGGGGAAAGAAGGATCGTGAAAGAAACATTGTGTCTAAGAACAGTGAGAGGACAATTCGCTTGGAATTGAACCTTGATAAATCTAAGAGAAATCTTTCAAGTTGCGGAGTTTTAATAAGCAATTTTAATTCGAAGAGGTATGTGAGAAGCAATTAGTTTGTTAAGATTCAAAATTCAGTAATGTGATTAATAGACCGCAGATATTCGTAGAAATTCTTACTATTGTATACACAGATAAAAAAACGAGAAGGTAAATTAAGATATGTCTTGTTTTCTAGATATTATAACGTGCAAATTATTTTTTATATTTATTTTTATATTTACGTTTGTCATAGGTGCATGAGTATCCACAGTCTAATAGTCGATATATTTAAGTATTAGAGAATCAAAATATTTTCTTGGATTTTCGGAATACGATTGTTTCGATTTTTCGTGAATAAGAAATAGGATTTATGAGACTTTCTATCGATGTTCATTTATTATATACGTACTTGCCATTTTGCTGCACTCTCCACAAACAGAGCGAATTATAAATTTTAACTAAAGCAGAGAATCGATGCCAATTCGACTTTAGACCCCTACAGCCAATGAAACGAAATGTACCATAACAGAAGTTGTATGAACCAAAAGGCATACACTACTGTCTAACTTCGACTCGCCTTCGTTTCATTCCCTGAGGATTTGCGAAATGAATAAAGCTTCGACTTATCGAGGCTTTCAACTTAAAAAGATTCGAGTTATGGTTTCCAATTGTGCATAGCCCAGGAAATGGAACGTCGATATCGCTTCCTGTAAACCAGACCATATTTCCACTGTGGATATGGGAAGTATAAAATTTGCAAATAAAATTGTGAATTTTTTAGTGTCTTCCAACGAACGGGAGTTTATAAACAATACTAACTGCGTTTACTCGTGCTTTATTTCTCAGTGAACGTAAAATGCGCGATGGTATAATACACAATTTAATCGTACACGCCGATTCAAACGTCCGCGATACGTAGAAACATACAGACATGAAATTTTAGTGTTAGAGCGATTAAAACGCTACGAACAATAAATAACGGTGAATTTCCGTTCGGTCATGGACCAATAAACGAACCTCTTCGACGCGTTAAATACTATTTAATCTTAAGCGTAATCTACGTTAATACTCCAACGAGAAATTCGGAACAGTCGAGTGCAATAGTTTATTATCATCGACAACACTTCTACGCAACAATACAGAAAGTCTCTCAGCTCGATTCAAAATCACGTAATCTTACCAATAGCGACACTGTCATGACTTTCAGTACTTTCAATCATTAATATTAATTTGAGTAGCTAATGGAAAGATTTCTCTTGCCTTGTCTACAAGCTAATTGTAATAATTGATAAAATAATACCGATGAAATGAGAAGGAAATAAACGTTCGTATCTCGTAATCTCACGATCAGTGGTCTATGCGTGATAACAGGTTCACAGATTTTGTTAGAATTGTGTCCGGGCACGGACTATCGAATTGCCAGAGAAATCGTTCGCGATATCACAGGCTTCATTGTCATTTTCTGTCGTCGACAGTGGAGGGTTTGATCGCTTCAGCGCAGTCGAATCTTCTTCATCATGTTCAGAACGCTGGAGCCAGGCAGGGGACAGGTGGGGTAGAAATTATGACATCCCTGACCTTCCACGCCGGATATCAGCTGACCCATATGGGCTGCGAAGTGGTACCTCGAGGGCACTTCCGCCATTGTGTTCAAACTCGTGTCCCTGGAAAATATTCGAGAAATTTCTTTGGTTACATCTCTCTTTTAAAGCATACATATTTAATTCTATACAGTGCAGATCAACTGTTGCAAATTTAATATAATTTTGTTTATTTCCAATCTATTAAAATGCGGTTTGCTCGCACGGATTAATTGCTGTTTTTGTTTAATCTTGTTTAACATACATTCGAAAAAGATATTTTACACTCCGCGGAGTGTAATGTTTGTGTTACACAGCTGGTTGGATGTGATCGATTCGTCGTAATGAAAAAAACAAATAGAAGCACGGTACAAATAACGTATCATTTGTGACGTTGACCGTAACCACTGACAGAATTAAACGTTGTGTATTATTTTGCACGGGTAGATTCGCTCGACCGTATTTCCCAATGGAAATTCTACGATTACAATCGACGTTTCGGACGATTTTCAGCGCTGTTCGAATACCAATTTGAATTTTTAAACTTTCATCGCGAAATATCATCTGGACTGATCGACGAGAAATAATACACGAGGGAGGGGCCGGTACATTTATTTTACATGCATCGATTCAATTGTCCAGCTCCGCTTACGAAACGCTGTATTAATTTATTATCGGAGTTCGGAGGTATAAAAGCAGAGTAAATAATTTTCAGCGAGCAATAAATTCAATTGAAATCTCAGTTCTAATTTCGATGAATCCGGTCATTGCGGGAACATTATACTTATAAGGGGACAGTATTAGGGGATATTAAATATTAAATAGAGTGCAATGACTTCATTTTCATTTATCTGAATTACCATTTAACTTGAAGCTCGGTTATATTTTACTCTATTAATTTCCTAACTTTGATAGGCGTTTATATACATATTTCCCCGCGTTTTTTTATATTTTATTTTGCGCTGAATGTTTATTTCTACTTTTACTCTCATCTTGGATGAAAGTACGAGATGCTATAGTTGCTATAGTTTTAGTATATTCATATAAAAATTATTAAAATTCATAACAGTGTAGTATATCTTTGCCAAGCAGAATTTTACTCAATATTAATCCGAATAGAATTTCAAATTTAAGACTATTCGTTTCACACGCTCGTATAATGCTGCTCTTATAAGAGATACTAAATGGAGAAAGTACGTACAGTGCGTCGCGTTTTCGTGAACGTTTACGTTTCCACTTTCCACGTAAATCAACGTTTCGCAAACCTCGAATCGCGAGATAGATTTCGAAACAGACGCGAGAATTGTCCCGTTGACGCCAATGGCGTGCCACGCACGAAATCAACTCCACTTTCGCAACGCTTGACCATGATAAACTGGTTGAGAGCACGGCATATAAGAACAGGCACAAGGAGAGTCGCCTTTTACTTTCGATATCGACGGCTGCCGGTAAATACGCGCGGTAGAATCCGGTTACGCTCGGCGAAACCGATTGAAAATTACACGGACGCTTTTCTCCGTTACACTGTACATGGAAATCTCCGCGGTGTTCCTCGAGAAATTGCTGTAAAAATGAACAGACTTCCTTCCGGCGTCGCGGACGCCTTCGCGGTTCCACTCTCGGTCTTCCGGTATACTTCCGGTATACTTTAATCGCAGTCCACGATGTGGATCTAACGAATTACTTCAGTAATAGCGTGGTTACTGATTCGAAAATAAGTCATTCTAAAGAAATTAATTGGATCGGTAAGGTTTTCTGCCTGGCGATATTTTAAACGAAAGTGTTTTGTGTCCTTGATCATTTAGTATCGTTAGATAGTTCGCAGATGGATCCTTCTTTCAGGATCAATTCCTCGAGATAGTATGAGCTGAAAAGTCCTTTTTCATTTTGCAATCCGAGGCTTCGTTGTCAAGATAGGAGCAGTTGAAGTTCTTACGCGCGAGAACCGTGATCAGCTGACTGGGATTTAAATGGCGCACACCGCGAGTCACGTCGGTGAACTTCAATCGCTTGTATCTAGGTAACGTAACTTCAGATTGAAAAATGGTAAAGGACTCTTCGCCTTCTTTTTTCGTCAGGAATCGATTGTGAGAAGAAGTTTCTTTCTTCCTACAATTCATTAACAGAAACAATATTCTCATAATCAAATTCAACTTGGGGTACATCATCAAGTTCAGTACTTTTTAATTCTTCTAACTATTTCGAGTCAATAATTCCTGTCGCTATCATCGATTCATACGCGAAGGGGAATACATAACTGACAATATAAGACCACCCCAAACACTTCGAGAAGCCACAGATTCCTCATCCATGGTCCAGATTCTCGCCTCTAAAGTCATCGAAGACGCCATGACGCCATATAGCAATGAGCAGTTTCGTCACGCATGGCTCCCAAGGAAGACGTCTTCCTGCCGCAAAAAGGGAAGTCCCCCTGTTTCGGTCGTTTACGATCGTCGCGGGCCTGGGGAACTCCGAATAAACGCAAAACGGCTTCTTAGCTTTTCCATCTTGATCTGTTTAACCCGGAGCGATCCGCGATCCAATAAAAATCGGGCTCGCCGCTGGAAGCGGCGTTTACGCACGCATAAAAGTAAATATAAAGCTCGAATCCTTCCGGGACATTAACCGCGAGGAGTGGATCGCTCGCAGGACGATTCACCGCGACATCATCGCTCGTTTCTTGGTTTCTTTCACCTTCTCGACCCTCCTCGTCCCCCGTCTCTTCGACAGAGCACTCGGAACCAATAACAGGGGAGATTTTTCGGTTCGATTGGCCCGTGAGTCCGCTATCCAATCGTCTAATTTGCGATGAATTTGCTCGGTTTGTGGAGTATAAAGCTCTGAAGGAAGATTCCGATTCGAGTAATGCTGTCGAGGTGAGCTTTATACTTTGGTGCTCTGGTAGACTGTATGAGGGATTATTTAGCTGGTGGACTAGGTAAAATAAAATACTAAAAATTGTATTTAAGAATCTTGAATGATGAATATTAAATAAATCCTCGGCATAGTAGGAGCCTTTCAGGTATTTTATCAGGAGTTCTCATTGCTCTCAGCCCTGGCGTAAAGATTCCAGAGAGGGCAAGCATCTACTGTAATTTTGTTGATAATAATATTTATTTTAGTATCACCTGATAGTTCTTTCTTATTGAGAAATTAATTCAGATAATATGACTCAATTCTTTCTCAAACAGTCCCTTATTAATCCATGACATTGCTAACATAAAAATTCATATCAAGCATTACCTAAGCTCTAATCAATTTTAGTATAATCTTGTTTCTACTTCACGTAATTCGAGCGACATGCTCCGAATTAGGTAATTACCAAATTCGTCATGGAATAATCGAGGAAACGCGCATCAATGGCGACGAACGGTTATATTTACGGCTTCGAGGCAGTGATTGGCTGAATTCGATTGACCGTTCCGCGCAAATAATTTCGTATATTGTACTATCGCGTCTCTGTGTTTCAATTCGAATTCGTATTCCGCGAAATCATATTCATCATCGTTAGTTCCATTTACTCTTTCCGGATTGATTAAGAGCGCTGTCATTAAATCATCGTTAATTATTGCGTAATGAAATTCAAATATTACCTAAACCAATTCCTCTTCGCCTTTAAATAAACGAGTTGCCGATAATAACTCATCGACGGTGTGGAGCATGGGTTTCGTCAGATGCTCAATTTAGTAATGAACGTACGCGAATAAATTTTAATAAAATACCCTCCCTTATCATCAAAGTAAACTTTGCAATATTATATTTATTTGTCATGATGGTATCGTTTCCTCTCAATATTAATTAATTAACAAATTGGTAAAGCCGAGTAACGTCTACGAATAAAGTCATTGTTCACCTGGCGAACAATATGGTTTCCTGAGGCATTGATATTTTCAACAGACAAATTTATCCGTTAATTAATTACAAGAAGGAGAAGAAACACATTGTCTGCTGGGATACGGTGGTTAATTGGTGTCAATTAAACGTGACGCTGAACGAAATTCACCTTTTCAACCGTCACGAAAAAGGCGGAAGCACCGCGTATAATTTCACGAGTTGAACAGAAACTGCGAGGTCGGGGCGCGACTGCGAATTAATCGTTAAGAGACCGCTGTAATTTAAAGCGATAATTAAACTGGGAAATGTTGAGAACACCGAAAACGAGAGGAAATAGAGAAACAGGGGAAAGCGAGCATGCCCATTCACACCTGTAAATCTTTTCGTGTTCTAATCGTAAAAGACACGCTTTAACCTAACTCTCGGTTCTTCAGTTTCTCCGGAACAAACAAACCAGCTAACGCTACTTTCGCTATGTTTTATTTCCTATCTTCCACCTGTTACCCAGAAATTCGTGTTCGTATAATTTCGCCAATGTATGGCGTGACGCAACTCGAGATACCGTTGTTTTAATGATTGCTTATACGAGCCAGACTAAAGTAATCGGTTGCGATCCTCGCCGAGGAATTCGACGGTTCGAGAGGAGACGGGACGCGTCGCGCGGCACGCGTGGCTCCGGGCGTTGTAGAAAGTCGGAAGATTGAATAACCCGTGAAAAGGAAAGTGGAGATCGTTACGATGCCATGGCCTCGCACGGACAACGTGGCGTTCCGTTTTCGGAGTGGTCGCTTACATAAGAACAGACGAACTTTCACGTTGTACTCCGACCTCATGCTCGCCTGGGCGCCATCGACTCCTTAATGGCCGGAAAAAGCAACGGAGACGTGCAAATAAATTCGAAGCGTCGGTTTGCTCGTCGCTGATGCATCGAAGCGTTCCTGCACTTCCTTGACGAGAGAAAGATCCGTAGGAATGTTTATATCTCTCACTTTCTAAGCACGGGAATACTTTTCCAGGTTCGTTTACTTTATCCTGCTACGTTGATGATTTGTATTAATAATTAGAGAACTCCGTAATGAACTATCTACAAAATTATGGTACTGAGTTATAAAGAGAAATTGGACCTTCGATATAGTTTCATGCTGCTATCTGTTAATGAAATTCACACGTACGTCACTCTGGTTTTATAAAACATCCTATCAGTTATGCGCTTTAGGGCATGACTCAATTTTTAAAAAAATATTACTTAAGCTACTCTGGTTCCCAAAGCCACATATATGTATATTCGTACCATCTATGTCTATTAAACAAATTTTATGAAATTAAATGATGGATTTGACGTTACCAAATAAATTTTCTATAATAAATACCTACATAAATCAATTTTACGTGTGTATGTATAACGAAGAATTTATTTGGAACCATCAAACCTGTCATTTAATTTAGACAAACTTCTTTGATAAATACAGAGAGTACGAATATTTATAGGATTGACTCTATATTCATGTATTTCTTCTTGATTTTCCTCGATGGATGTTCTGATTTCAATTATCATCTGTCGTTGAATAGTAGTGCAGATGATTGGAGAATTGAATAGTATTGAAATAATAATGAATTCATTTTTCATATTCGTACTGCATATATTCACGTTTGGATGTTTACGTGTTTTTCTATTTTTTCATTGAACCGACAAGAAAATTTTCTGTTCCTCTTACAAACTTAATTGCCATTTCTAATTACTTCATCTTTCCTTTTAGATCGATTTCTTTTTCACACTGTCCTCCCTCATGTTGAAACAATGGAGGCTCGACGCGTTTAAAATGTATTCACACAAGCTCGATTACAAGACCTAACGTGCCAGCACAAAATGGCGACCTGAAGCGAGTATTCCCGTTACCAGACGACTCGATTTAGGGAACGTTCTTTTTTTTCCCCCCCGTTTAACGTTTCTCACTTTCCGTCCACTTCACGTTTTCCCACCAATTAAATTCGCCCCGATGCGGGCACCGAAAAAAGTTTCGAATTTTTTAAATAGCGCCAACTCTCCGGCAACATTCGAACCGCGAGCGCATTTAAATTCGCCCGGTTGCAGTAGTTCGCCTTTCCTTACTAATGAAATTTTTCCCCGTGGCAAAGCAGAGGTAACAATTTCGGCCTTCTGGATACGGGGATCCTCGAGTAGCGTTTCAATTAAGCCTGCGTTTAAATTCGCCGGCTTGTAAATTGCATTTTCCTGACCGATACGTGCCGCGTTTCCACCGATTCCCGCTTGGCAAACTTTCCGCTCCTGTCTTTTTCTGGTCGAAAATGACAGAAGGGAGGCTGAAGTCGTCGAGGAATATTTGTAAACGTATTGATGTCTGCATTACGAAGCAAAATGAAAGGCTCGTCGACCAGGGCCGTGTCGAGGCAGGAGTCGAAGATACAGTTAGGACGCGATGCTTGGTAATAAAAGAAAATATAATTTTGATGAAATATTAAATTATTTTAAAGCACGTAATTTCGAGGGTAGAAGACGATAAAATTTCATATATATATCATGGGACTCCTTACTTTTACAAATTACATACGCAAAGTCTCGAAGGAGTCTCCAAAGTCTAAAGCATTAAACACCAATCTTCATCGCAATTTAAAATTATTTATTCATGCTTCGACCCCTAGTTCATATCGAGAGTCGCTTTCAGAATTCTCAAAGGATAGATCATATAAAATTTCTAAACAATGTACAGATATCAAACCCACTAAAATGACTATAAAGCACGTCCTTATCAAAGGACACTATTATCCATAAAAATTTGCGAATTTTGTCCATATGTGAATATATGCAACTGGGGAAGGTGTAGCGAAATATCAAAGCACGCCTCTGTCCTCGTTGAATCGATTCGGGGTTCTATAAAATCCCTGCAGTCCCCCGTCAATCGAATAACGGTATAGCAACATCCCAGCTAGCGCGGAATAGCGGCGCACGAAACGAACGATTGGACGTCGAAAATCGCGGCGAGATTTCGCAGAGCACAAATAAACCGATTCGATTCGCCGCTCGGCAACGGACGAGTCAATATTTGGCCGGTTTAACATAACTTTGCTTTTAATCGGGAAGCAAAACGGCCACCGATGACCGCGCGACCAGCTCGCCGCATTATCCAAATAATATGGCGAGCCGGCGTGAATCAGCGTTGCTTCGCGATCGTAAACGAAAATTGCGAGATACGCGACCGTACGATATCCGTGGACGTACAATTTCAGCGAGCACGGCCGTCGCGACGCTTCGGCGGCCCTCGTTGCTCGGATGGTGCACGAAATCGACGTTTCCATTGGACGGAATAGGGGAATTTCGAAGGACTTCTTTGTTGGTATTTTGTTCCTATTTTTTGTTGACTATATTTCGTGGATTCGTTATATTTTTTAAGGACCATTACGTTGTAGTTGCAAGTTAGTTAACTTGAGTTCCTTTTTAATGGGAAATAAATTCAATGCTTGTGGCAATTCGGTATCTAATTGAGTAATTATTGAAGTGATTTTGGTTACAAACTTATATAATTTATTCGCTTTTTGTAATAAACATAAACATAACGCACGAGAAGAAAATGTTTCGTAATAGAATATTTGAAGCGAACCAAGTAACTATTCAACTATGGCTTAAAATCAAGCAAGATGTATTTGAACCATTTTCGTCTGAAGTATACAAATAAATTGTCTGGGTTAGGTTCTTGAATGCTTCATCATGTTTTAACCCTTTGCTGTTCTACGTCAAAGGGTAAGTTTCACTTGAATTGTACATAATTCATTCTACATAAATAGAGTCACAAAATACACTCAAATAAAATTCCTCCGAAATAGCCCCAGAAGAAGACAAGGCATCGGCAAATGCCCTAAATACCAACCCTATCGCGCAATGCTTTCCTCGGACCTGTCTGAAGAAACCAATTCGTTAAAGTAGGCCATTCGTTTTTTGATGCAGTTACCAAAGATCAGGTTTGTTTCATACAGGTTTTTTTTGCGCTGTGATGCATGATATCTTTGTCGTTTGCGAGAACATTGACATTTCGCGAATCGAGCTTTTACGTCCGTCGCGGCCAGTGACGATCGAAAGTCGAAAGTGAAAGTGACGAGCCAAAGTTAGAGCGATGAAAGTGGACGACGAACGTCTCGCGTCACGGCAAAAGTCCCCATCTCCTCGAAACCGCTGGATCATCGTGAGTTTCCGTACGATCGCGTCGATCATTCGCCTCCCCCGGAAAGCATCGTAAACACTTAACGGCATAATTGCTCTACCTTCGTTATACTCCGTCGTTCGTTTCTTTCGTGTAGCCGAAGGCGAAACGGTACACCGAATTGTCTCGTAAATTTCGAAATCTCCGGTACAGAGAGGAACAGGACTAACAGGTTTCGATTGTTAACGAGTGGCTGAATTGTGATTATCAGAGCCGGGATTCTTCGTTAGTTACGGCTGGGGAGAGCACACGACAGAATATTTTATTCCGTTAACGGCTTCGTCTCGAAGAACGCGGTTCGGAAGGACAAAGTTATAGGTTTCGGAGGCATTAGAACTTCCTGCGGAGGAATCGATGTAGAAACTTTCGAATGATATCGTAATTGATGCTTGTCAGGTGGAGAAAGAAATATAGGATTGTAAATAAGAATAATATAGGTTCTGACAGGAGTATAGTTTTAGGTTTTATTTTTGCCGTGTATAATAATTATGCTTCTTCAAGCATTGTAAAATTTCTTTATAATTTTTCTAAAGACCAGACTTCTAGGCAAGACCCTACAATAACTTTATCCCATTCAACTCCAATTATTACAAATCTGTGTTGTTTTAAACGAATCCTACTTTTTCAAGACCTCCCTCTAAATATTTATTTTTGTTGCCAAACATTTTAAACATTTCACTTCGATATTAACTCTACATAAAACTGGACACTTCGATAGGCATCTCAGAATTTAAATCAGATTTTTTTTTAGCCCTTTCAATAATCAACATTTAGCCTCGAAATGAAGGACATGTAATGCCGGCGGTACCCGCGAATAACAAGTGTGTGGGGGGAGGGTTCATAATCCTTTGTATCGGTTTGTATCGAAGCAACGAACCGACATTGAGACGCGTAGCGTCAGTCTCGACCTAGACGTCGTACCGTAAACACTCGATAATAGATTCTCTGTTACCTCTAAAATTCAGTTTTCGAGTTCGTTCTCCAGAAACTGCCCGTAAAACGGACGTGCACTGTTGCTTAGTTTCTACGTATCTAATTAATCAGTCAACGTAAACATTCCTCGAGTTAAAGTTCTTAATCTTTGAAATCTTTAAAATCTTTAATCTTGAAATTTAATTACATCGCGTTAATATTCATAATCTCGTCATTAGTCGAGACTTCCTCCAACGAATGATATTACCTCCCATCGTCGAGCATTATGTCACGAGGATAACGAGTAAGTGCAAGTCATGATTTACCTGATCAAGTTCAGCAGCGATCGCTCCATCTCGCTCAGCTGATCCTGATGAACGAACGAGGTCAGTTCGCATATAAGCTTGGGCAGGCAAGCAGTCTTGATCGTCGTCATCATCCGCGCCCGTCGCATGAGCGCTGCAAAGTGATCGACAAACGTGAGTGGTTGATTGTTGATACAGATAATCACGACGTAAGCGAGCATAATTTGTTTGCCCACGAACGTCCACTAGAATGCATATCAATTTTTTCTGTCTGATAAATTCATAGCGGAGAATAACTTAGAACCCTGATTAGGCTAGAAGAATTAATTTTCTATGCATATATTTTCTTGTTTTAACAATTTTTAAAGATCAGACTTTTAGACATAGTTGTATCGCTATACTATTGATGTTTAAATTCATATTTTTACTGATTCGGATGAAGAATTGAGATTTAAATGAAGGTATGACTTATCTTCTAAACCATTTATCGTTGATATTTTGTACATTCATCCATTCTCACGTTCTCTCACGTCTTCACCTGGCATAAACGCATAAACATCCGTAGTCTATGTATCACTTATACCGAGGAGGCTCACCAACAGTCAAAGTATGTTTATTTACGTTACAATTAGCGACACACTTTCGCGTAGTTCTGCAAGCGATACTTGTTATTAGCATGACTATTTATGAGCACGTGTGTCGTGACGTTTCACCAAGCGAGCTCTACGAAACTACCAAGAGATTTCTCATCTTAAGAAACACTCAATCGACCACTGAACCTTGCAAAGCACCCTAACGCAACCGAATGCTCCTTTCTAAGCTTTCACGAGCTTTCGACATCGATCGATCCCGAACGAGCTATTCACGCATTCTAGTCTAGGAATTTGCGACAATGATCGAATAACTCTTTAATTAATTTCCACGGGAGGAGAATAATTCAATTGCGCGATCAAAGAGTAAAGCTCTTTTGTTTCAATTAGACTCAATTACACGTGTAAATTCACGTGGAACTTTTTCGAGCAAGAGCCCTGTTTCAATTTAATTTTACAGTTTTCTACAACTCTACGTTCGTGGAGCGACGTTTGAACATTTTTTTCTCTCCCGCTACCAGATGATGAAATTAAGCCACCGTGCTGTGTTTTGCGAGAACACAGAACTTCTATGCGGACGCGAAATTCTATGACTCGGCGAGTTTAATGGGAGCCTCGAGGCGATAGGTCGAGTGTGGATGGACTGCGGATTATCGTTTAATGTAGCTTAGGTAACGGTGTCATCTGATATCGTTAAAAAGAACGAGGATGACTGGATAGACTTCAGTGTCCTGGACTTTTTCTAAGTTAGTTAGAATTTGAGCGTCAGTAGTTACGCTGAAACCGGTGTTATAGGATATTTTGTTCGCCACACGAATATATGACTTAATTCTTTTTAAGTAGTTGTTTATGTTCAGGCTACGTGGAGAGTAGAATAGAGACGTGTGAATTGATTGAATCTCTTGGAAGTCCAAAAGTAGTTAATCGTTTCGTTGCATCTATTTAAGTATAGCACTCCAGCTTGACCCAATCACGAATAATGTGTGAGCAAACAGATCTTCGGGTTACGTGACCATGCGCCATTAAAAAACCAACACTACAATGTCACTGAAACGACTGTGTCTAGATCTCTCTAATCCGATTCATATCTAGTGGAATTTTTCTCAGCGTTTCCGTTACAGCTGATCCTTCGCCACAATTGCGCAAGGATCGTGACACAAGTATGCTCGTTAATGTTTACGATCGTCGTCGCATAAATGCATGGTCGAGCAGCACTAAAGGTTCACGAAACCGCTCTACAAGTACTGAAACTTTTCGAAACGAACTAAACGCGACTGATCGACGATCGTTCGAAGACTTTGTGCCATTTAACGAACAAGTAACGGAAGGTTTACATCAGTCAAATATTAATTAAACGCGCGCCTGGAATCACGTCTTCGGAAAAGTCCACAGAAGTCGAGGTCGACTGCTCGCGCACTAATTGGCCGGGGGAAAGCAAGCGCGGATGTTTGCGCAGAATGTTGGCTAACCTGTCCAGTTACTTTCGATGAGGATCTTGGATTCTTGGAGCACATGTTCGACCAACTAGATCAACGTTTCTCTGACTTTGATGCGATGAAAAAATTAAAAATTACGCGTAGTCTCGTATTGTACGGAGTGAAAGGAATGCGTCCGAGTTAAAGTATAATCGACCGCGAGCTGCGTTTTTATTATACCGATGACATTAGTCGTTATGCATTGACATATGATGCAATCGTAAACACGCTACTCGTTGTCGGACGCAATTAATATGCATTGCTCGTGGAAGTGAGGAAACGTAAACACGCGTGGCATAAACAAGCGCAGTTTGTTAACAAACATTCTCGTCAAATATTTGGGTACCCCAGTACAGTAGGTAGAGACTGTGCTTGACCTAAAATGTGATGCGGAATTTATACGTAAATCGTGTGATTCAAACAAGTCAGGTTTATATCGAAGAGAAAAACTTACACGCTTTCAATATTTTAATAAGATTAAGAATAAGATTATACTACTAATTAAAGAATGCTCGCTACATATCTCACTTGTTCGAGGCTTTCAAAGACCATACAACTGTTGCACAACATCTTAGACTCAAGAAAAGCAAATAGATCTTTGAAAGACAAATAAAGAGAAATATGGAAGTTATGTAAGGAAGAACTGCAGAACAAATAACGTTCAACAATGAATATATTGCTACGAGTGGGTCATATGTTAATAGGCTTCGTATTCTCAGTTTTATTCGTAGCTTTAGTCGAACCACAAGTGACTTGTATGATTTTTATTAGTTGAATTCAAACTACACCTTATAGGAATCGTTAAACCTAACCTTTTCCTAAGACTCCAATCGTGATGATTAGATTCAGGGGCATCATCTAGGTATTCGCTTTATATATTTCACACAAACGTCAATAACCTGTAGGAGTCATTAGACCTTACACTCTTCTAAAATTCCAGTCACTAATAATAAGTCTCTAAGTCTTACTCAGGGGGATGCCTTCAGCTGTTCACTTTAGTGACTTAATTCGAACGACCACAACGTCTACGAGTCGTTATACTTATCATTCGTTTAGAATTTCAATCACTAAACCTTAGTTTCATTCAGGGTACTAGTTATTCACTTTACTGGCATAATGCAAACAACTACAACTTGTAGAAGTCTCTAGACCTCACCATCTTCTAAAATTCCAATCACTGAACCTTGCTTTCATTCAGGAGCCTAGCTCTTCACGTTCCAGACAAAATCCAAACGACTACAACTTCTAGAAGTCACTAGACCTCGCTATCCTCTAAAATTCAAATCACTGAACCTTGCTTTCATTCAGGAGCTTATCTCTTCACTTTACAGACAAAACCCAAACGACTACAACTTCTAGGAGTCACTAGACCTCGCCATCTTCCTAAATTCCAATCACCAAATTTGAGTCCCATTCAGGCCCACCCCCTCGTCACTTTACACACACGACAGTCACTATATTTCCATAGCAATGTTAAATTTCCCACGTTTTACCAGTATCGCCAGCTTGCTACCAATTTCTCCCTTACCGATTTCTCTGTCATCTTTCTGCAGCGACGTCGCCAGTGTCCTGTCGCGTGACGTTTCCATGGGTGGGCCCACGGGTCCTTTCGCGGGCTCGGTATAGTTTTTCACGGCGGGTCTACCGAATATGGTGGCGATCAGGTAACTGTAGTCCCCGGCGAACACCAGGAACATCCCTAGGAATATCACCAGACGGACCGTGCTCGTGTCCATGACCATGCCGTGGCGTCCTTGGCGGCGTTGTAGACGTCGCGTCCGCACCGATCGACGATCCTCGATTCACTGGCGGCCTCCTGGCCGATTCAGGGACGGGATCGGGACGACGGGACTGGATCTGGCTTTTGAACTTTAATCCTCGACGAGCCTCGGCCGACACCACACCTACACGCATGAATAGGTGCAATTAACGGAACTGCCTTGTCACGGTCGCACCGACGTGTCGCGGTTCGATTTAAATTAGACGCCGTGTATAGCGCGAACGGTATCGAGCCGATTTAATTACGAGCTGATCGAACGAGGTTACAGCGTTCTGGTTTTATCCGGGGAATCTCTGAGGGACCTGTGGTGCTGAGAGTTGAATAAGCAAACAAACATGGCGAATGTGGCATTTGGACGGGATAGAAGGTGCAGGAAGTGCGATTTCGAAGGGTGATGGGGACACCTGAGTAGGGTTTGAAGGTTTTTTCAGAGAATTGGTTAATTGAAGAGGGAGTTAGGAAATGAGGTCTCGTTTAGGACGTAATTGCAAGGAAGTTTAGGCTTCTTCGTTTACACATTGTTTATATATGTGGAAGGCACTCAGAATATCTTGTCTTGGTTACATGAAGTTTTGTTTTTTTGAGATATATATTATTCAAAGGATTTTTATGATTGGACTGTGGAATACGCGCACTTGTATGCAAAGTCTATGCAAATGTATGCAAATTGCTATTTACATGCACGTAAGACGTTGAAATTTTTGCGAAATTCAGAAATGAAATTTAGATCACTGGAATCTTCAGAGCATGAAACAGATTTCTAGCCGAGTCTCATTGTTGTGTTGGAACTCCATCTAATCGGAATATGTATTTGCATAAACATCCGCAGTTAATCCGTGACTAGGCGATTCTCAAGGAACGTATTAAGTGGCCGTACAACATCGACAAATTTCCTTATTTACATTATACTTCGACCGTTAGAAGAAGAGTGGTTTCGATCGACGCTAAGTTCATTGTTTCAATTTCAGTTGTGGCATTTCTCTAAACCTTTGAAATCCATCGTGCCAGTCCGTCAACTCGACTCATTACTTTATTTCTTCTTGGTTAGTGCAATATTTTCGATAGAATTTGTTTCATAGCCATTCTAAGTTTATTGAGAAGTAATTAATTCACAAAAAGTAAAATTACAGAAAATGTTTACAATGTTCGAGACACTTTTATCTACATAAAGAGACAAGCGTATATTCAAATTTATGTTTGTCTAAGTCCCTAGTTAATTCTAACAGATCTTAGCTTACGAAAACATCACTTCATTAATGGAAATCTGATGAGAACATAAGTCTACTATTATAGATCAGTAGATTTCTTCTAATTCGTATGGAAATATGAGAAACACTACCGAAGAATATTTGGAATTGTACTCCGAAAATACAGAAGATCCAATTTTGATTCCAACGCTATGCACGAGGACCGATTTCCAATTCGCCCATTTGCATTCTACAGTGGATGTGCTCGAAGAGCCGTTACGCAAAAATTTGCAAGGAGAATACCTGAGTTGCGCAATAGCCTGACAGGTGTACCGCCTTAACCTAATTTCCTCGAATGTACGAAACACGTTAGATGTACCGAGACAATACGTACTCGTGAGAAGCATCGACCATGCGCCGTACCCTCGAACGGAAGAGACCGTGTGCTCTCAGCCAGAAGAAGACCGCTGCGAAACACGACTTTCGATCTCCGTTCACTTCCACTTTCTTCGACCAGCACCAGAATATCGAGCGATCTCAAAGAACGAACCGTTCCACGCTTACAGCCATAACCGAAGATCGTGAAGCAACCTAGGATCGAATTTAACCTCGTTCGACGAAAGGGCGCTCGATAAAAATCCGTTCCAAGATTTCACGCTTCCAGTGTTCCAAGATTTCACCAATTTCAAACGATCCCAACTATTGTACTCGATCGTAGAATTTTTCTGACACACTTTTCAAAGATCTTCGGGCTGCTCGTTGGAGCATGAAATCACTAGCACTGACACAGTGGTAATCCAAGGGAAGTCGATTGGAACAGGTGGATGATACACCTGTGGATCATACAGCGGGTGCTAAGATTGGTGGCCCGAACTCTGGGTATAGTACACGTCGAGATTTGGAAAAGCGTTGAACGTGGATATAGAAATCGAGAATTATAAGAAATTGTCGGGTGTTTTTCATTTACGTGAGCGAGAATTCTGAGTTTTTTCCCTCGTCGACGAGGAAAAGTTTTGAAATATTGTAGCAATCACTGGCGACGAGGAAACTTCAGATAACTGCCTTAAAATAGATATGCCATTTCTCGTTCTCTTCGGGCCAGTTGCGTATCGTCATGTGGACTATGAAGTTATGACAAAATAATTATGCAACATAGATCACAAAATTTAAAATGATACACGGTATTTCCAGTCACATTCTGAGATATATTAGTCCACATTCAGTCAGAACTTTGCGCCAGAAAAAATTATTCTATATCAATAAATGTCACCACAATTTAAGAAACACTCCCATACGGTCTAAATTTCAAATTCAGTTACATCAAATCTCAGCTAACTAAACGAAGCCTGCTTTATATACCCAAAGTAAACGTTTCAACGCATTAGAATCGCGTATCGGAAACCATTGATTTCTAGACGAATGTTTACCAGCACTCCTTGCTTACTTGGACGAGTACATACCCAAAGATTGAACCGTATATCTCAGCACACCGTATATAGATCGGAAAATGAAGTTCGATAAAGATTCACTATGTTCGACGTACGTTTTCGCGACGAGCGCGTCCCGACGGAGGAATTCACCGACGCTGCTACGGCCTACCGTCGTCGTGGAATGACTGTGAATGATTCGAAACCACGGCGGCGAACCTAACGAGTTGTCAGTGAAAGTTGGACACTCGCCCGCTACTCGCCGCGATTCGATCGCTCGATCTGGCGTGCCGCGCCTTCCTCGCTCGTAAAGCGTGCCGCTCTGGCTTGGAACTGGTGCAAACTCGAGTTGAAAATCCTTGGCAAACTATTTTTTAAACCAAAGGAATTCGGGGATAATTAATTTCCAGACCTGAATGGGATGGTATTTACTTTATGTTATGATTCTGTAATGGAACCTGTTTGGAACCTTTGAATTTCATAATTGGATTTACAGAATTAATGCGTGAATAGAATTTGCTGAAAACAATGGAAGCACGTAATTATCTCTTTGGAGTAGCATGCTGTGATCGAAAATTATAAAGATTTAATTGTTGAGAATTATAAAGATGTCTGTACGATGCTTGTATGTATCTTGAATGTTAGAATCGAATTTATCATGGTAGTACTCGAGTGGAATTAAATTAATATAAGAAAGGATGCAATTACCTCTTTGAAGTAAGATAGCATGATTAAAAATGAAACAGATTTTTAGAGGACGTTAAAAATAGATTTTTTTCTGTCTCAGACGTCCTTCGATTCCAATTTAATTATTCTGAAAGCCACCGAGTACAGAATTGTTCATTTTACCCAGAGAGGATTATTTTCTGACAGAGTTTTTCTTCTTACCAGACAAAGTCGAGTAGCCTCCAGGATCTACAACGTGGCTGGAACAAAGAGAATTTTTTCATAGCAACCAGTTTCCCCAAGGACAGTGATATGAACGCGTCTGGGATCAGCGACGCGCGGTCTTCGAAACTGTTATCCGCGAAACTTTAATAAATTCTTTCAGGTACGTTTAATCGAGTGCAATTACTCGCTCGCCTTGAGAGGACTCCCACTTCGCGTGCGCCCGAGTCGAGATTGCTATACGTTCCACGGTAATACAATGATATTGCGTTTATTACGTTGTGGACTCTGTGTGACGTGCAGCTACGAAATCCTCGAGATCACAGTGATTCGACAGAGCAGGAAGAAGGATCGAGTTTTATAATCGTTTAAGGCTAGATGAGATCTCTTTCACTCGCACTTTCCCTTCCTTCGTTCGTCACTTGGAACCGGTGACATTCTACTGTAAGTGAATTCTTACAGTGTAACAGCTGCTGGTGCAATGGGGCAAGTTAAATGATCGGTAGGTGCATCGAGATGAATATTCAATGCCTTGATGACCGCGAACGGACTTAAGGTTACCATTAAGTAACAAGTATGCAAATGGGAGCAACCCAAGATGGACAATTGGAGTGTACGTTAGGTGGGTTGTCAATGATAATGGTTTCGGGGTAGAAGAAATATTTAGAAGTACGCGTATGTTTCATTAAAAAATCACTTTGCTTTATTTTTGAATAGTATCGTACATTTTTGTTTGAATACAATTTAATTGAAAGGAAATAAGCTATATAGGAATATAATTTCAGGCATCATTGTATGATGCTTGTTCTCGTTGTGAAGATTAATTTTGTTATTCTTTTCAACCTATTTCTATGACAAGATTATTCTTTAACACTTTGTTTACTGGCGGGACTTGCGAGTTCCGTCAATTTTCTCATGGTATTATATTAATTACACGCTTTGAAACCTATTGTGACTTTCGAGTATACGTCTATGAAGTTCGTTTTTAATTATTGGATGGCAGCACAAGCTCGTTAGAGACAACTCTATAAGATGATATAAGACCAAGATGGACGCAGAGATTTTAAAAACTTTTGAGAAATTCAGTAAACGAAGAGTTAACACTAACAAGGAAAGCTTTTTAGGTGTCCACCTCCGATTGTTTTGATTTTCGGATATGTTTTAAAGAACCGATAAATAAGATATACGTATTTTTTGTGTATTTTCTGTCCTGTACGAAACTTTAGATTCACCGTTTGCTCCTTCATCGGCCCCCCCCCCCCCAAGGGACCACAGTAAACGTCATTTCGTCGTCGCTTCGAGGAGCAACGACGTCTGGTTTAATCAGCAGTGTCGAGCCTAGTAAACAAGCGTTACGCGGTATCGTTACATTGCGAAAAAATGCGAGATAACGAGAGAAGCGCGTCGGGATGTCTGGGAAAGTGCATTTGCATGAACGTGACGTTGTCGATGTCATTAATTAACGCGTCTGACATACGGCCCCAATTTTTTTTTCTTCTCTCCTCCATACCTCGACGGTTCGTTGGTGTTCCGCTTGCAAATTAATCGACGCTTTTATAACGAGCATTGTTACATCGACTTTCGCGAGTTTCCCTCGATTATCGGAACCCTTTGACTCCGAACGAGAATTTAAATTCTTTCAATTATACATGCATTGTTACTGTAATGAATAGAACCCACGAGGATTTTATGCATTCATGGTGTACGATAACTTTAAAATCGCGCACAAAGCACGCACGCGCGAGGAAATATATCGCGAAATAATGTAGCGATATCGTAAAGGCACGTTTATTTTGATAATATCGCGGGAATGTATTTCGGGGATCAACGCGAGATGACATTGTAAGAATTTCGTAGATTAATGTATTAATAATTTCATTTTGCATAAACGCATGCAATATGTATACGTTTAGTATTCGTATTTTCGTATTTGCATACACGTATAAATGTATAAAATTTGCAAGCCGTTAATGAATATTAATCGAGAAACATGTTTACGGAAGTGGATTCGGCGATTCAATTTATCGTATTGTTTTGCACGAAATGATCCACATTAGGGAAGGTCGAGAATAAATTGTCGTCGGTTCTCGGTAATTGTGCGAACATTCAACTCGACAATGGGGCTCGTCTTACAGTCGCGGCACAAACAATTAGCCTGGTAAGAAACATATCCTACCCGGCTAGTTGCACTTTCAAATCGGAATTTACGATAGTTACAGATCATCAAAGAGAAATTCATTCCCAACTACCAATCAAGTCATTAATCGTAAATATCGCTTCCTACCACAAACACATCATTTTTCATGTCACGCTACACTTTTCTCGCGATTAATTTGCCTAAGTGTCGCGAACGTAAAGCTAGAAGTGAAACTTCGAAACCCAGTCGTCCGTGTGTCACGTTACTTAATCGACTGTCCTGAAATTATTTCAATTAACAAGTCAGGCAATGGATCGGCGATACAAAACACATGCGCAGTTTTTCTGTTCAAAGGGGATTTATTAAAAGTTGTAAATATTAAAACGTCCCGCGAGTTTAAAATTTCTCCCTGGTGAAAAGTGTCGCGAGGCCCAGCAAGGACCTGGTGAATGGGGTGACGTTCCTCAGCGATTCCGTGAACAGCTTCCTGGCATCGAAACGTCGAAATTTTCCGCATCGTCTTCTCCTCTTGTCGTCCCGATAATCGCCGCCGCTCCAGACGGCTCTGCTTCCGCCTAAAATTACCATAACACCGTGAAATCGTGAAGAGTCGCTCCTCTCTCTGAAAAATTGAACCGATGATATACGAACGACTCCGTTTATTCGCTTTGCGTAATAGACGTCTTGGCTTTCGTAAAAGTCATTCGAGAAAGTTACGACATGTGATTCCCTGGCCCCTAATGAACGCTTAGTCGCAGTTTACTCGCGGTAGAACAAGAGAAAGCGAATTTTAACACCTCTTAAGGTCTCTGGCTGTCTGCGGAGTAAATGAAAACAATTCGTGTCGGTTTAGAGGCAATTGCTACTTCAACGGTGAATTCAATAAATGATGACCGAACGAGCAGAGTTCCGAGTTTTATTGAAATGTTTTGATGGATGGTACTGTTTGGTATGGTATATTGTTTATTTGATTTAATCTTTTATACGCACGAAGTGTGTACAATTTATATTCATAAAATTTCATTTTGTTTTTATCAACGGTAGACAAAGAAAACTCGATTGGAATTTTTCGACACAAAATTTAATTTAGTGTTAAACGAATCTCCGGAGTGTTTGTTTTCATTTCCACCCGTCGATTTAGTGATCAACGCGTAAAACGTTTAAATTGAAAAATATGAAATGATTTAATTGCACATGAAATTTGCAAGCACTTCGCTTTAAAAGCGGGTTTCAATAATGCTGAATAAATAATGGTAACACGTAGAGGTTCCGCCACGAGTTTTCGTTACTCCCGAAGATACACTTTCGAGAAACGAAGATTAAGGAGCACTGATTTAGTGCGTGAAATAAGAAAGCACATCTACAATAGTGAATGCATAAATAATGTGGATTACCATAGAAATTTAAAATAGTAATTAACGCGTTAAGCGATCTCCCACGTTTCGAATTTTTATTGTCAGATTAACGTAGAACGATTTCTGAACATTATTGAATAGATTAGTAGATTCTAATAACCTGCCTGTCAACGAAGAATATATGAGTCCCCTCGCGTAATACGGTAAACTTTCTACCAGCCACCATTTGAATGCTCCAACGGTACTCTAAACTGGTGAAAGTATCATCTAATAAAGCGAACTTCAAGAAAAGACAGCGGGATATACGATAGATAATTGGGCCAAACGAGTTCTCATGTTCGATTAGTCGCGACCGAGTGTATAAGACACGCGATACGTGTTTTAAATTTCCACTGAGTTTATCATTACAGATCACTGGTTTACATTATCGATTCGCGAGACTAATCACACCGATGATTTATAGACAAATAGAAATAAATTGTGGCAGACCTTACAGTAGTGTCTTTCAAATTTGTTAAGGTTGGAAGCAGTTTATTAAGAACTTGTTATGTATTCGTACTAATGTAATTTAAGTTTTAGGATCAACTTGGATCAACATTATTATAGAGAAAATAAACAAGAAATTCCTAATAATGTAGTTTTCGAGGAAAACTGGTTTTTCCTCGCGTGCACAGACGAGGACATTCGCCCTAAACGATAGTGTCGGTTTTGTGTGTGGTAATTTTGTGTCCTCAATCATGGACGCCAGGTCTGAAAGGGTTAAGTAACTTCCACGTACAATGGAAACCAAGGCACTCGGGATGGGGTCTCGTTTATCGTGAAAATTAGAAA